AACAACACGACGATCTCTACCGTAGCACCTCCTAGGTTCCCAACTCCACCGAATCGCCCCACTAAGCTCAGTGGAGCATATCCTAGACTTTTCTAGGTTCCTGCACTCACCCAGTCCTCAGCTACTAAAAGATTCCCAGTAATTTCAGTTAGCTACCTCATGAATATAGCCACATACAACATAGATTAAATAATCATTCGAGTAATAGACTCATCCATATAATGGTTAGACTCCAACGAGAGCTGGACAATAGGGTCAAGTCTATCACTTTGAGATTATCTAGTCTGTGCGACATGTGACTTAGTATATTCACTTAATAGCTAGCTCACATTACTAAGAGTCCCACAAAGCACAAAGCAAGCAACATTTGGACAATGGAAAATCTAACCAACATATACTAGACAAATCAGTCTATCCAATACGTACATCCCGCAAGCAGGTAACACCTGTCGTTAACCTCATCCTAGGCTTACCCTAGGGTAATGTCTGACCTGAAAACTATCATAGAACATTCGACCCATATACCACAACCCATGCTGACCACATCCACCCTCATTGTCGGCTACCTTATGCATGCAAATTATACATAGAACAAGATCTAATAGACTGTCGAATAATAGACTCTACCCTAAGACGACAGGAAATAAGGTTAAATCAGCTATTCTAAGGCTATAAGATCCTAGCCGTATATAATTTTAAAAACATACATATTGTAGTTACGAATACCAATTATCATTCTCATTCCAGCATGACATCCAATATCCTCACGGCTACAAGCACCACATATCCGACCAACATATTGTTGACTGCTCAGCACTAGCATGCAAATCCATCAGCTCATATGACATATACTGGCATCTCCCCAGCCTTAACTAGCATGCGATTCACATGTTCATAATCAAATCATAACAGGTAACAAATTTGGGTATTATTGGGAAACTTACTCGAGCTCGGATGATTGCATGCACCACATCCTTTCTTGTCTTAGAAATACTTAAACATTTTTCTTTTTTAAAAACTTTATAGATTCTCAGTCTAAGTTCAGACACACCCGAAAGTATGTTCGAATCCCTCAAACCAAGGCTCTGATGCCAACTTGTAACGACCTAAAAGTCAAGGTAAAAATTTCATTTTTAATATAGCTAAAACATTGATACCATTTACTCTAACAATTTAAATCACCATTAAGTAAAACATTTATCAGAGTTCATCCCAAAATCATTCATCGCGGAAATCGTAGGTGTGTGCACTGTGACCAATCCGAGCCCTTCCTTTCCAAAACGATGATACCTGAAACCATAAACAAAACCTGTAAACACGAAGCTTAGTGAGTTTCCCAGAGCATACCATACACACAAACCACATATCACATATCCTGTTTCTATAAAAGCTACCTGTATCACATTTTCTGTTAGCTATAAAAGCTACATATAACACATAAGCCATGCATACAAAAACCTGTAAGAATGTCATCAGCTACCCCACATGGTCTTACATCTAATGTCATGGGTTACCCCGCATGGTTTTTACCTAGGACTGTCATGGGATACCCCACATGGTCTTAAATCCAATGTCATGGGCTACCTCACATGCTCTTTACCTAGGACTGCCATAGGCTACCCCACATGGTCTTACATCCAATGCCACAGGCTCCCCCCCCCCCCGAGGTCTTTCATGCAAGTATCACAAAGACAACTAGCATAACACATATCATATAATCAATAGCATACCACTTAGCATAAAGCTAACTATCATACCACATATCTCTACTACAACTAGTGTACCACATAACATGAAATGGGCCGGCCTTGGTGCCTTAGACCCATTGGTATTGTGAAGAGACTCACCTCGCACTGCAGAAGCTTCCCGCACGAATTTCTTTGATGCTGCCTTGCCAACATCCCGAGCTGCCACTACCAAACAATATACCCAATTAGCAATTGGGTCCCAAACCATAATCCTTAATCCCTACATGGGGGGGGGGGGGTAAATGACCATTCTACCCTTAGCCCAGTATGATCCAAACTTAGGCCCAATTTCAAAACAAAAGCCCAACACTAGGTAGGCTTTCCAAGCCCATTAGTGGCCCACTAATGGACCAACTTTCTCAGTTGGGCTCAACCCCTTTAATGGATCTTACCCTAAGCCTAAACATATTCTTGGCCCAAAACATCTAACTCCTGATGGCCCACTGAAGCTCAAAGACCCAAAGTCCATTGCTTGGCCCAACTCAAGGCCTAAAATACTACAAGCCCAAAAATGATAAGTACGCGGGGCATACTCTTATGTACGCTAAGTGGACTGATTGGGAGTGGTGTATGCGGCGCGTACTTTCATGTACGTCCAACGTACTCCTCTATTAAGCTACTTTTCCATTAAGTGCTTAATACTCGGGATTTCCACCATCAAAATTCAGATCTAGGTCCATTAAGACATCTTAAGGCATAAAGTTGGCAACTTTATGCCTTTTCATGATCCATGTGTTCTCAACAACCCATTAAGACCTTTCCAAGGGTCTTGATCCATGCATGAGGTTAGAATACTCATCAAGCTTGCATTTTTATGAAGTAGATAGACCAAAGGACCTCAGATCTACTCTCCCTAAGCTCTGGAGCTTCTCAACTCCCAAGAGATAGTCCAAAAGCTCATAAAACACTAAACACACCCTAATCTAGATCTCAAGCTATAAGATAACAAGGTAGAAACTTTATACCTTCTGAGACGTGCAAATGAGCTAGAGAACCTGGATTCAAAAGCTCTTCCCTGATCAATGGAACTTCAAGATGATCACTCCTCTTCAAGAACAACAAAATGCACCCCAAGATGGCCTTACAAGCTTACACTCTCACTATTAGGGTTAGGGTTTCGAAGAAGGGTTTAAAAATGAGAAGGAGGCTGACCCTGGAGGGTGTAATGCTCTTTATATAGTGTTACACCCTGCAATTTAGGGTTTAGTGACTCTGGGCGTACGTCTTCAATCACCCGTAACCATTTTCTCCATCTACGTTGAGCGTACTCACCTGGCCGCCACCTTGCATGCATGGGCTGAAATGCAAGCTTTTCCATTCAGGGACCAATTCTTCCAACCACTTCAAAGTATGATAACTTCTTTGTTCTAAGTCCGTTTCCAACGAACTTTATATCCACGAAAAGGTGGCAAGAAGCCCTTCGCTCCTAGCTACACCCCAAGCCTTAAAACCTTTCGAATAAAACTCGAGACTCATAAAAGACCGAATTGTCAGATTACGCTTATCCCCTTGGCCTCCGAAGACACAATCGAGCACTTTCAAAACTGAGCGTTACATCTTTTCCTTTCCACTCAAGTGCGCCTAAAATGAATACTTTCTTTTCCTTTATTTCGAACTCGAGAGCACGAAATACTTTATTCTTTTCGCTCCCTTTCTTTTTCTTTTCTCTCATTGTTCTTCCTTTCTTTTCTTTTCTTTCCTTTAATGAACTCGGGAACAGGGTGTAATATTTTTTGTTTGAATGTTTTTTTTAATATTTCCTCATTTTAACTACAAAAAAATACAATAAATATCAAATATATCCGTTAATTTATACAATTTTTACTTTTATTTTTTTATATTACAAAACATTGTTTAAAAATCACATAATTATCCTATTGTTATTATAATACAACATAATTATGGCAGACACATTGATCATATTATAATGTTACATAAAAGAAATAAAATAAAAAAATAGTAATGTGTTATACAAAAATACATAAAATTTGATCTACAGTTGTTAACTATTTATATTAAAATCATAAAAGTGCTAAGTTCAAAAGATTCTTTCATAGAAAATATTGTCTAATGACAAAGGGTCCATATGATTCTAATATTGAATCTCTTAAATGAATTGAATTAAAAGGAACTTAAATTTGGTGAAAATTTTCAATGTTATAAAACTAGAACTATTTAAATTTCAATATTGAAAACATATTTTATGGTTAAAAATCAATTTATTTTAATTTCAAACGTTAAAAAACAAACAGTCTTCTTCTTGCACATTGCAGATGTTTTGTATATGTTTTCTACTGTAGAGGTATGCAGATGTGGTCCTTAGACTGCATAGATTGTGTGTAAGGTTGTCTAAATGGAAAACAAATAACACCTTTGGGAGAATCTAAATGATAGATTGTGTGCAAGGTTGTCTAAATGGAAATCAAGGATGTTGTCGATTAGGGCCCGACTTTTGCTTATTAAGTCGGTTCTTGGTAGCATTGGTGTTTATTTTATGTCAATGTTTAAGGTCTCGGCCACAATATATAATAACTTCAGAAGTTTCGTTCCAGATTTTTTGGGTGCAGATTCATATGAGTAAAACTTCATTGGGTTAAATGCGACCTAATTTTGAGCAACAAGCTACGTGGGGGATGGAGGATAATAATCAAATTAAGGGTGGTGTTTGGGCCTCGGTGATGGATACGGTCTTGTCAATGCATAACAACATGATGCTAGATCAATTAGTTTTCTTTGATTTGAGTGTTCTGGACCTATCAAACTAATGTGTTGTTAAGAGGAAAGACGTATAAAAGAAAGATATTTTCTTTGATTCGATGGTTACGCTTTCTTTTAACCGCTTTTGTTTTAAAAACTGTAAGTTTTAGAGAACTAGTTGTTTTGTGGCAAGCTTGTTTTAACATATTAATTCCGTTAAAAAAAACGATGCAGGGACAAAAACTGTTATAAAACCATGTATAAAGGATCAAACTTGCAAATTAAAAAAAAAAAAAAAATTAATCAGTTTTGAAGCTAAACCAAAAAACTAACTAAAGAGGGACCAAAATTATAATTTTTTTATTAGTTTTTCAACAATCACCTAATTATTCGAACAAGTCGTAAGTTGATGTGTTACGTTAAACATTATATTATTTTTAAACAATAAAATTAATATCTTATATCAAGTGGGAACATGAAGTGACTATAAATAAACAAAAGAAACCCAGGTACTCAACCAATGTCAAATCTCCGTTCATCATCTCCCTCCAACCCATGAACTTTCCGACAACTCACTTGCCGGAATTCATCAGAATTCCGACGAACCAACGAAGGCAATTCACTATTCTCGTATCCTTTCTCCTCATATTTCCATACTCAACACTTTCACAATCATCGTACACCTCTGCACACGAGGGAAACGATTCCAACTCGTCGGATTCCGCCACTAAATTCGAGCCAAGTTTAGCTCTGGTCATCGGAATTCTCTCAATCGTCTTTTCATTAACATCTTTAACCTTAATTTATGCAAAATGCTGCCACGTATCATCTTCTATCCAGCATGAAAATTTCGGTAATTTTCCTCAAACAAGATCAAGGTTCTCTGGAATCGATAAAAATGTTATCGAATCACTTCCGTTCTTCAAGTTTTCAACATTAAAAGGATCAAAAAACGGGTTGGAATGCTCAGTTTGCTTATCCGCTTTTGAAGACATAGAAATTCTTCGGCTTTTGCCCAAATGCAAACATGCATTTCATATTGATTGTATTGATCAATGGCTCGGAAAACACTCCAGTTGTCCGCTTTGTAGGATCAAAGTTATCGTGGACGATATTACCCTTTTCACGTACTCGAATTCTTTGAGGTTTAACGAACCCGAACCTTCAAGTCTCGGTCTTTTCATAGAACGCGAAGGGTCTTCAAGATTCGGAACAAATATCGAAAATGATGAAGAAATCCTGCACAAGTTTAATCATCGAATCATGATATGTGATGACCATGATCCGATGATAATCAAGAACAGATGGAGCAATGTCAGCTCATCTGATCTTCTGTTTTTGAAATCGGAGATGATTACTTGCATGTCAAGTAATCGATTTAATAGTCACCTGATCAGTTTGGAAATCGATGGAAACTCCGGTGGTGACCGGGAAACTGAAGTGGAAGCCATGGAATCCGGCGGGAGAAGGTCGGTGTCGGAGATTACTGCTCGTCCGAGGTTTCTTGAAGGTGAAGTTAGGGTTGAAGAAGAAAGATTAAGAAGATTATGGCTGCCGATTGCTCGAAGAACAGTAGAACAGTTTGCTAACAAAGAAAAAAGATCTGGGGGTGATGATCAACAGCTAGATATTAACATGAAGTCAAAGGAATTATTAGAGGTATAGATTAAGATGATCGAATGTATAGAATTTGTTAAATATTCGTGTTAAATGATGGTTTAAAAAATATATTTTTAGACATTTGAGCTGTTTGCCTTATTTATATAATTTAAGATTATTGTATGATTTGAGGGTGTTACATACGGATTTATTCATCCTCACCCAGTCGGATGGTCAGTGGAAGATCCCATGTGGTTATGGATGAGAGATGTGAGAACATGAGAGAGCGTTGGAAGGTTGGTTTTGATTTGAGCATTTCATATTCATGCAAATATTTGCATATTGTTATTATCAATGAAATAAAAGTTAAAATACATATAAATATATTTTATCAAAATAACTAAGTGACGGTAATTAATTATAAGCCAAAATTATAATGTTTTATATCTAAATAATAATGATTTTTTCATCAAAATATCATGTTGTCTTTGTGTTTTACAAAATACCGCATAATTAATCCTTATCTTTTTTTTTAGGTTGATCGTCCATATGGTTTCAATTTTTGATGTAGTTACATTTTTTTTTTCAATTTTTACTAAACTTTATTTCATATTTGTTAAACTATTTTTAATTTTTTTTTTTTAAATGAGTTTGACACTGCTATGGTACTACCATCCATTTCCCCTCACACTTTGACCTAATTGCCCTTTATCAGTCCCCCCCCCCCCTCCCCCCCCCCCCCCCCCCCTCTCTCTCTCATTTGGAGAACACCATTGATCTTTTATTTTTCACTCACTTGTAGTATCACCATAGTGCCACCATACCCTTTTCCCTTAACCATCAAACCAACATTGTTTCCCTTCAACCTCACAACACCACCATGTTATCGATAAACCCTTCCTCTTCCACCACATGCGGCAGTGTTTATTTGTGTTTTAATTAGATGGAATAAAAAAGATGGGAAAAACTAAATAATTCTCTTGGGGTGTAACATCCAAAAATTTTAAAGGTAAAAATTTTATCTTTAATTCAACCGTAAACGCCTTTTAATCATTTCAATCATTCTAAAAGTATATCATGATAAAATAGTTATCAGAGTACAACTCCAAAATCATAAAGTGCGGAAACATGGGTGGATACGCTGCGATCAATCCGGACCATTCTCTTTCGAATCGGAAGTACCTGAAAACATAAACATAAACTTTAAGCACAAAGTTTAGTGAGTTCACTGAAGTACCAAATACCATACATAAGAAAGTGAATGTTATGGGCCAAACCATAGTCTTATAATCATTTCCTGCCATGAGCCAAATCATGGTCATTCCTTGCAATGTCGAGGGCCAAAATACCAATCTTCCAGGGGTCAGATCCAGGTCTTTCATACAATTACTAGGGTCCAGATCCTGGTCTTTCATACAATTGTCAGGGGTTAGATCCTTGTCATTCATGCAAGTATCACAAGGACAACTAACATTCTACATAACAAAGTAATGAGGCAATATTGGTGCATTCAATCCATGGATCTAGTGAGGAGACTCAACTGAATCGCAATTTCGACCATATCTAACTACTCTCCTGCCAAAAGACGGGTGCTCGACACCTCCTATCCATCCAAAAAAAGGTAAACCTATGTCTACCTTCTAAAAGGAATTTGACCAAAAGTCAAACCAAGCCAAAAGTCAACGGTCAAAGTCAAAGTCAACAGCTCAATGTCAACTTATCCATCCTCACGTCATGACCAGTCCTTGGTCATGTCGTGAGAGCTCACTCGGTTCGATTCCAACTCATTCCGACCCACCCTTGCCAACTCAGTCATGAAAAGTAATTGGAGTTGACCTCATGTCGTGAGAATCCTCCTCTCATGTTGTGATCTCCAAGAAGCTAATCTAAAAACGGGGTCATTCAATCCTCGCACCTTGAGACCCTATGTCTCACATCATGAGAACAATCTTAAGCTAAAAGTCCAACTTTTAAGTCCTTAATCCGTTAAGCCTTGAACCCAAACTTTCCTGAAGGTCTTATAACTTCATAAGACACTATAAAGTCGATGCTTTCCAAACATATATGTCCAATACATGTCTAGATCTCATTTGGGTCAAAAGTTGAAGAAAAGACATCCAAATTTAAAGCAAGGTTCCAAAACTCAACCATCCTTTAGATTTGAACTCCAGGACACTCTAAGGCCCTCATAACCCATAAAGTTGCCAACTTTATGGTTTCCATTCATCAAACTTACATAACCATGAAGAAAAGTTGGATAAAACTTAGATCTAGCCTCATATAACAATAAATGTGAAAACTTGAACACTTACAATGGTCCAAAAATAATTTAAGGTGATGATGATGATGATTCCTTGCAAGCCTTTACACAAGATCACATTCTTCTTCTTCTTATTCTTTTTATTCTTCTTTTTATTCTTCTTATTCTTCTTATTCTTATTCTTCTTATTCTTATTCTTATTCTTCTTTTCTTCTTCTTCCAAACCAAGATAAGCTCCAAACTGGCCAAAGATCAAGCAAGGTGTGAAGGATAGGATTTTTATGAGGTGAAAGAGGGTTTGGGGCTGATAAGAAACCCTAAAAAGAGGTTATAGATGCATAAATACGAAGGAAACCCTAAAAGGTCATGGGCTTGGGTTGCAGCATCTCTCACATCATGAGCCTTTATGTATCACATCATGAGACCAGTCTCGACCAAGAGTTTTCATACAACCCATCTCACATCGTGAGCCTCTATGTCTCACGTCGTGAGGCTCCTTTTTCTCCAAAATCCAACCTTTTGACTCCTTGAAACCCCAATTCAATTCGTCCAGGAAAACGGGTGTTACAATTATCCTGCATTTAAATTAGATTTTGTCCTTGAAATCATTCCTTACCAGCCGCCAGAAACACCAGACAATTTGAAGAATTCTTCCACAACCCCGATACAGATTGAGGAAACAACTTAAGCATACACCAACCTTCCAAAACTGTAACCAAACCCAGCCTTAGCAGGGCTCTCAAAACTTGACGACGAATGGATCCTTACCCTACTAACATTAACCACTGAAGAATATCCATTAATACTCTGCCCAAAATCCAAAATCCTAAAACCTTGTTTGATTCCCCGATAGACAACCCATTCTGCATCATTGCCAATTCAACTCCACTTCGTATTCCAAACTAATCATAACTCTTCTAACCCTTGATTATCTTGTTGTTTCCACATGTAAATAGAATCACTGACCATTCATTTCTACCGAAAACCTTTCACTTGATAAAAAGGCTTAGATAATCCTTGGAGTAAAAGCCTCATCCCTGCAATGGTTAGACTCAAACGAGAGCTGCATAGTAGGGTCAAATCAATTACTCTGAGATTATTAAAACTATGTAAAATGTTACTTAACATACTCACTTAATAACAAGGTGACTCCTAACACGAGTCCCAATCACTAGTACCACATCAGGTTTATCTTGTTTCCCCATAATTACATTCCTGATGCAGCCAAGACCTCCTTGGTCTCATACTTACCTACCACTTTACTGATATACCGGATTTCCAACCAGTTGATGATGATAATAGCCTCATACAATCGCACCACACGACTCATGAATGAGGGTTTATCTGGAAAGAGTTGTCTTAGCTTGCTTACCATAATGGCTCCTACAACCCTCCTGATCCAACCATGGATAACATAACCAACCATCACACCGATGCAACATAATCTACTTTTCTATAATGAACGCTACATCATCAACTATAGATTTATATCACAAATGGCCTCACATGGCCCACAACCTTCCTTAATTCCACGAATATTGTGGCTTTCCCACGGTCTCACGACCTGTCCTGCCATGGTCTAATCCCACCTAGAGGAATCTAAGAGCCAAATCATAGATTTACCATGTTGAGCATCAGCGCTACCGGTTGATCTAAAAGTGATTGGTGTTAGAAAGGGAACAACCTTACCCATATAGTGCATTCATCCCTCCAGGACTAGGCATTTGATTGCGACACTCTAGGCCATCATGTGAGAACTTGGTTGATGCCATTTTTGACCCCCAACAATCCCCCCCCCCCCTCTCAAAAATTGGTCCCTAAGAGAATCGAACCCTCACCACTAGCTCTGATACCACTTGCTGAGCATCAGCGCTACCGGTTGATCTAAAAATAATTGGTGTTAGAAAGGGCACAACCTTATCCATATAGCACATTTTTCCTTCCAGGACTAGGCATTCGATTGCGGCACTCCAAGTTATCGTTCGAGGACTTGGTCGATGCCATTTCTGACCCCCAACACACCATGCTCTCACAGCGGCTCAAGGACCGGGTGAACGCTACGGGCCACCCCGCAATCCTACTACACCTCTATACTGCTTACCAATCTAGTGAATGTTATGACCACACCTGAAGTCTTACAACACTTCTATACTACTTTCCAACCTAGTGAATGCTACGGCCAACCCGCAGTCTTACAACACTTCTATCACTACCTGCCAATCTAGTGAATGCTATGGCCACCACGTAGTCTTACAACACTTCAACAATACTTTCCAATCATAATCATCATGAGTCGAATTTGTATATGACTATACCCCTAATTAGGTGTTCGGGTCATGCTACGAACCCCAAAGCCTTAATCAGACAAGAACAGACAGATAGGCTCTAACACAAACCTGTTCCTATTCCTGATCACATATCCACTAAGTGTCACTACTGATGTGCAATGAAACCTGAATATCCATGCTTTTGCAATCCCTTAGACCAAATGATTCTCCCCTACTTGGATTCGACTGCACTCTTCTAGTCCTCAAAAATTGATGGATTTCCAATCCATCTAGCACCCTCACAATTCAAACAGTCGACCACCTAAACTTACAAGAATTAGCATTCCATTACTATCCAATCTTCATGATCACACACATTCCAAAACCGGATGAATCCTTAGTGAAATCTCAACGAACTGTACAATCCCAAGTACTTCCCATAATACAACTCCAAATCCTTAAGCCACTTCATCTCATGGAATAGAACTATAACCCTTAACCCAAACAGATGGATCATCAATTTAACAACTCACCTGTCG